CCAGCATGGGGTGTAGCTAGAGGTATAAATAGGGACGTGGATCTGCCTCTTAGGAGGCTGCAATCATGCAGATAAATGACTCTATAGTTAGGAACAACAGGCAAAGGACTGTGTTACTGACATGTATAGAACTGTGGTTAAAGTGACTGTATGCATAGTCAATTGGACTTTGTAAAGCAGGAGTACACCTAAAAATTTTTTTTTAAACATTTTATTTTTAAGCCAGGAGAGATGGTGTACACCTTTAATCCCAGCACTCGGGAGGCAGAGGCAGGTGGATCTCTGTGAGATCAAGGCCAGCCTGGTCCACAGAGTGAGCTCCAGGTCAGCTGGGGCTACGGGGAGACCTGTCGCAAAAGAACAAAAACAAAACATTTCATTTTTAATTATGTGCATGTGTATGTCTGTTGGTGGGGGGCATATGCAGGTGCCTGTAGAGGCCAGAGGCATCAGATCCCCCTGGAACTAGAGTTACATGCAGTTATGAACAGCTTGACATGGATACTAGGAATTGAACTCAGGTCTTCTTGAAGAGCAACAATTGCTTTTAAACCACTGAGCCATCTCTCCAGCCTCACACTTAAAAGTTTTAAAAGACCTATGTGCTGGATAGCTTTAGTGTCAACTTGACACACCTGGGTTGAGGGAGCCTCAATCGGGAAATTGCCTCTATTGGACTGGCCTGTGGCCATGTCTGAAGGGCATCTTCTTGATGAGTGATATGGGAGGGCCCAGCCCACTGTGGGTGGTGCCACCCCTGGGCAGGTGGGCCTGTGTTGCATAAGAAAACAGGCTGAGCAGGGACCAGGGGAGCAAGCCAGTAAGCAGTGTTCCTCCATGGCCTGTGCTCCAGCTCCTGCCTCCAGGTTCCTGCCCTGAGTTCCTACCTTGGGCTCCCTGATGAACTGCGACCTGGGAGATGTAAGACAAATAAACCCTTTCCTCCCCAAGTTGGTACTGGTCAGAGTGTTTTGTCACAGCAGTGAAGAACTAACTAGGACAGCCTATTTGGAAGATACTTGTGTAAAGTCATGGAGGAAGTGAGGCTGCCGGATCTTAAGAAACTCGCTTACAAGAGGACTGGAAACTGCAGGCATACTGAGGCTCCACGACCTGAAGGGTCTTTAAAAGAAACGTTATTCTGAAAAAAAAAATCTAAATTCTGTTTGTGCGTATGTATGTGTCTTGTTTTTGCTGTTTTGAGATGAGGTCCATATATTCCAGGCTGGCCTTGAACTTGGTACGCAGCTAAGGACAGCCTCGAGTTCCTGATCTTTCCGCTTTCACCTTCCAAATGCTGGATTACAGGCGAGCACATGGGCAACTCACTTTGGCCTTTATTTTAATATTTTATTATTTTTATTTTCTGTGTACGCATGTATTGCCTGTGTGTAGGTAAGTGCCCCCATGTCATGCAATGCCCGAGGACAGAAGAGGCTGTTGGATCCCTTGGAACTGGAGTTAGGATAGTTGTTAGCTGCTATGTGGATGCTGGGATTCGAACCCGGGTCTTCTGCAAGAACAACCAGTGTTCTTAACTGTTGAGCCATTTCTCCAGCCCCACTGGCCTTTATTTTAAATTTGGAGATCACTAGAATATTTATGCAGTGGACCACAATCAAACCTGTCTTTGAAGAAGGCAGCCAGGTAGTAAGGAGGGTGAGAAAAGAAGTGGGTCTCCATGGAGAGGAGGCAGGACGGAAGCTTCTGAGAAAGGATTGTCTGTGTGGCGTAAACGAAGGCTATTAGAAGGACTGCTAGGCTCTAGATTTGGATATAGCGCTACTTGACTATGATAACAGAAGCAGATATTTCTATTTTAAGGGTAGATGGGGAGGGGACCCCTGTCTTTCCTTGACCTCAGTGAGAAATATAAATGTGCACCTTCCTCTTCAGATGCAATCATCACACAGGTGCACCACAGCACCTGGAAAGTATTCATTTGTTTGTTTGCTTATTTGTTGAGGTAGTCTCACTATATAAACCCTGGCTGGCTTCGAGCTATCAGAGATAAGCCTGCCTCTGCATGCCTAGTTCTGGGATTAAAGGTGAGCGCGTACCACCATGCTCTTCCCCTGAAGATGTTTCTTCTTTTTTTTTTTTTTTAATTTTACTTATTATTTTTATGTGTATGCAAGTATTGCCTCCATGTAGGTAAGTGCACCCATGTTATGCAATACCCACGGGGACAGAAGAGCCTGTCGGATCCCCTGGAACTATGGACAGCTGCTAGCTGCCATGTGGGTGGTGGGATTTGAACCTGGGTCTTTTGCAAGAATAGTCAGTGCTGAACTCTCTCTCCAGTCCCTGAAGATGTTTCTTAATGGGTGTGTGCAGGGTCCTGAGGCTGCATGTAAAGTGTTTCTGAGCTTTTTAATGTGTCCTCCATTCAAGGACTAGGACTGAAAGAACAGGTTGTACACTGATCATAGGTAAGTGAAGAAATAGACTCTAATACTAATAGAAAGTTATTAATGGTATTGTTTTCTAAGATATCATTTTATATGTAAATATGGCAGTAAGAGTAACAGATCTAATCATTTCTTCATTAAACTATAACAGTGAAGCAAACACGGTAAAATAAGATGTGCTACTTTATCTCCCTGAAATGACACCCTCAGTGGTCATGTACGTACACCACAGTGAAAATTTTTATTGGCTTTTGTAGTGAAAATAAAAGTTTAAAAATGCCACCAGCTTTATGTCAATTTCCTGAACAACTGCACGTTTCATTATGCTGTTAAATATTGTCTTAATGTTCAACCAAATGGTTATTAGCTATGTTAATATTTAAAAACTTATTAGTTCACTAGGTTATTTCCTGTGAAATCAAGCACATTACGTGCACATTACAGCTCTTAAAAAAACTGATCTTTTGCCAGGTGTGGTGGTGCACGCCTTTAATCCCAGCACTCCGGAGGCAGAAGCAGGCGGATCCCTGTGAGATCAAGGCCAGCCTGGTCTACATAGTGAGTTCCA